AAATACAGCACTGACAGCACAGCCATCTTTAGTGCAGATGTGAAGCCCTGAGCTCCTCGTCTCACTGTGAGGGGTTTTGCCTTGGCTCGGGCTGGGGAAATAATAAACAAGTAACTCCACAGCCAGGGAAAACCCTGGAGCCTTGTGTCTCCCATCCAGATGTGTAGCGAGATACAAGCTCCTTTGGCCTTTCCCACAGTAGAAATATCAATGTGGGCTTGTCTCCTCCTTACCTGGCTGTTTATTTTCACAAAACTTGTAAGAACATAAAGTTGCTGAGATCTCCACCCTGTTTAACAAATTTGATTGAAATCTGCCAACAGCTGAAAGAAGTTTGTCAGGGACTTTCTTCAACACACATGCAAAACAAGACCCCACAAGTCTTGTTCGCTTTGGAAGCCAGGATAGCAGTGCAGTGGAAGAGGAGCACTGTACGGAGGGACACTGCAGCATTGGAAGTCTGAAAGTGATTCACTTGCCACCCTGCATTACCTGTGCTGCATCCTCCCAGACAGGAACAGGGGCTTGAGAGAGCCTGAGCTGTACATGGGCAGCACGCCATTGGGATCCACGGACCACTCAGCTCCTCGACCAATGACACTGCAGCATCTCTGAGCAGAACTTTGTGCTTGTGTGCAGAGGAAAGCCCTGGGAGAACTTCTGTTGCCTTTTATGTTTTTCATTTTTTATGAAGTGCAGTGAAGTACTGATGGGATCATGCTTGGTCTGAGCAATCATTAAATATCTGTCTTTCCCCATCTGCTATTTTTGCTGTTCATCCATTCATATAGCAGCTTCTGGTGCTGAGGAGCTTGCTGAGGAGCTTCTGGTCTTAGGAGCTTTCCTACCTAGAACCTGCTTCCTCTCCTACACCATCGACTCCCCAGCCTGCTTTTCCTTTGATACACTGAAAGCACCTTGTGGATAGTTTTGCATCTTTGCACGAACACATTCGTATTTGAAGAGGAGAGCCACCAAGTGCAATGGCAGCAGATTTGGTTTGCAATTTTGATGGGGAGATTTTTTATAAGAGAGAGAGACTTTTCAGCTCTCAGGCAATGAAAAATCATGGCTGATCACAAATACTACCCTTTCTCAACAAATTCCAGAGTCTGTTAAAGGACAGTCATAACCCAAGCACAGTAGAAGCAGCTGAAGGTTCATCGACTCATCAGCAGTATCAGAAGTATACAAATCCAAGCTGTTGAATTACTGCTCTTAAAAGGCACCTTTCCCCCTGTTGCCCTTCCAAATTCCCAGAGTTTTCTGTCCAGATAACTAAAAAAGAGCACAAATTTCAGGCTTAATTGTAGACAGCTTAGTGGCTCATGCACAGAGGAAGCAGATGGGAAGCTAATCTTCCTATGAGTCTTCTGTTATCAGTGAAGATAGACCAGTACTTCTTGAGGGCATTTCAAATGAGCAGCTTCACAGAGGTGCTCTGAACCATTCCCCACAGGAGCCTCTTACTCTCTGCCAGGTAGCCTGAGGCTCGCCTTTGTGGAAACCTCTTTAGATCAAGTTTCTTTGGGCTGACACTGAGGTTTGCTGTCAGGCCAAGAAAACCTTCCTTCATCTGCTTCTACTCAAGCAGCCCAAGCCTGCCCCAAAGGCAATAAATAGCATCCTCTGTTGTAAAGGCCTAAAATCTGGATCAGCACCAAACACTGAATTTTATAAAGAAAGATCGTCCTACTTGATGGAGCAGGCCTACAGCCCAGGGGAACTTTGAAATCTCCATCCTTGGAGATATTCAGAATGTGCCTGAGCAAGGCTCTGAATATTCTAGTCTCTCTGCGAAGCTAGCCTTGCTCTGAGCAGGGCTTTCAACAAGCAACCTCCAGAGCTTCAATGTGTCCCATGGTATAGATTTAAGCAGGAAACTTTACAGAAACACAGTACTATATTGTATACATTTCTTCTTGCAGAGAGAGCATTAGAAAAAAAAGTACAGGACAAATAGAGGTGGCACACAGCTCACCTAAGGAAGGCATAAATTAGGTACTGCAGAGATGTGTGCAACCCAAAACCTATCCAAAGCAGAGCCAGTAACCAAACATTCCACTGCCAGCAGCACTTCCTGCAGCCACCATGACTGCTGCTTAAATGAAGGCTGCTATCTCCGATAACCACCACCTCACAAGATGTTATATGGCCAGCAGTGAGTCTGAGGACTTAAAATAGGCAAGGATACTCAAGATCTGAAAAGCAAATGGTCCTCATGGGGCTGTCACTCTCCAACTGTTAACTCTTAAAGTTATTGATTTCAGAATTCCTAGGTTTACAAGCTCCAGGCTTCATGGTTATTTTCAGTCATCGCCAAAATAAAAATCAGTTTCCACATGCATGCATTTTCCTCGGACTCACCCCCTACTAGCCTCATCAACATTTTCTATCAGGAAACCCATAATTTATACTCTCCTGGCAAGGACATGATATTTCATCAATGTTGCCAGCAATACCAATTTCCCTTCCTTATAGTTCTATTCTGAACTGTTTTCCTTTCTCTTGCCCCATATTTCTCAGTAAACCAATCAAGCACAAATTCTAAGTCTTCCAGTTTCCCTCTTTTCCCTCCCACAAGTCACTGATGTCTAACCACAGACATCTGTGCTTCTTTTCAATAACTGTGGATGTAGTTGCCCTATAAAGCATACACATGACAGCACAGGGAAATTCCACACACGTTTTCTCCATCTGAAGATATACTGGTTCATATGTTACATTTATATTGGGTCTGGATCGTGTCCTACCATCATTCTGCAAGGAGAAATCCCAAGGCAGTCAACAGCGGCTTTGCAAGCAGATAGATGACAGAACTTGGCCTTACAAGCGGAATATCGTATGATATATTTCCTTTTCTGCTTGCCAAATTGATGTTAAGAAGGGGTTATGCACTAAGACAGTCATCATAAGTTTCAGAAATAATCAGCAGCCATTTTTACTGAAACCTCAAAAAGCGCAGCAATTAATCAGAAATATCACTGCTTTTTCTGTGAAGTTACAGTGGCTTCCATTTTACTGGCATTGCATCACATAGCAATTTTTTCCAGCATGGGAGCTTTGAGGTCACTAGTAATTTATGGACAAAACCCTTTTTACCCTTTTCTTTTCATATTCTTTTATCTGGGTTTTCTGAAAATACACAAACAAGCAATGCTCAGACATGACATAACTGAGCGGCAGATCCAAGCCCCTGCTAGGTTCCAGTGTCCTCTGTAGTCCCAACCAGATGTGCTGCATTACGGACTGAGTCATCCCCTTGGAGGGCGGCTGTGAAGGATGTAAGTGCATTGAACGATCTGTTCCACAGGGGCAGACATGCTGAACTGAAACGCAGATAAGATTGACGTTTTAATGTGAGCGCGCTCTGCGGAGGAACAAAGTCAAAGCAGCAGTCCAGGCTCTCCAACGGCAACTGCACTGAAGGGGAATATTAATGCAGTTACCACATCTGCATCTCATTTTCCTTCAGTGTTTCCTGGTCGTACTGAGATCACCCGCTGGAGAGTGACATAACAGCATGAGCCGATGGGAAAGCATCTTGAGATGCAGGACAAGGAAAATATGTGCAGAATACTCAAATAAAGCAAGGAGAGAGGGAAGTGAGGTGACCAGCTCCCGCATTTTCCATTTACAAAGAATGACAGAAGACGTATTTAAGACACCTCCCCACTTCCCATAGAGGCTCTTGCACAAGCCTGGAACTGTGGCTGTGCCAGGCTTGATTTTTAGCCATGCTCTTCTATCATAGTCCTGCATTGCCTCTGAGAGCGGTCCGTGGCATACAGATTCACTCCTCCTGACAGGGCGCTAAAGTGCTAAAGCACATAATTTGCCTGTGTGGAGGTTGTCAGAACATACTCTGCAGTCATGTCTATGCAGACCCAAGTGAGTGACCATGCATGGTACTGCAACAGCACAGCAGCTCTCAGCTCCCTCAGACAGCTCTAGCAAGACATCCCCTAGACAAGCTCTGTGCCTTCAGGTAGGATTAAAATGCAAAGGTTTGAAGCCATTTTCTTCTAAATGACTGTTTAGTTCAGTGCTCCTTAGATTCATGATGATATGTGTATTACCCTGACTAGCTTGAAGGCATGCTTGTTATCAGGCCATAAGTCTGCATGTGTCAAAAGTTCACAAGTGGTGACCTAATTACCTGTCTCCAACGGCAGGGGCTGTGGTATCTGGCAGGCAGCTCATGCAATACCTTAGCACTTAGGTCAAGGCACTAAGGCTTCTTGAATTGCATGTTTTAATTGTATCTGGTTTCGTAGAAAAGTCATGGACAAAAAATTAACTGCAGCAATGGAAGCAATCTGGGGAGTTTTAAAGATTTCTGTTGGATTTTGTCACATTCAGCAATGTGCTAGCTTGAGTTGCAATTGCTGGCTATGCTCCCGCTGGGTTTGACAGGGCAGGCCCTTATATTGCACCAAAATTGGCATGAGAATGGAAAAAAGTGATGAGCCATATTTTCCTCCCACTCACAGGTATATGGTAAGAAGTCTCTCTGAATCTGAAGGAATTACGACTTGTGGGCGCAGTGCGGGTGAGAGGGATGCAGGGCACTCTGCCAGTAGTGGGCACAGCAGCAGCCTGCTGGAGATAGCAGTGCACGTCAGGAACCCTGAGCTCTGCTCCACCTCACTGTTTCCCCTGAACTGTGGGAAACCTCACATTCAGATCTAATCAGTGCACAAACATGCTGGCAGGGGGCCATGCACAGATAGAGCATTTGGGAAGCAGTGTCTTCAGGAAGCAGTGTCTTCCGTCTTCAGGAAGAGGCACGTAACACTGTCCTCCACTACCCACATCCTTCACTCAGCAGCTCTATCTTCCCCAAAAGGTGGACCACCAAGGACTTCTTCAGAAGCAGATACAGATGGTGGCTCCTTGCAGCCTGCCCATATTGTTGGCAAAAGACACCAATGCTGAGATGAGACCTCCTGAGAAAGCATGCAGTGGACTTGGGGGGGGGGGTGGAAACTAGTGATATGATAGGTAATGGCCTCAAGTTGCTCCAGGAGACATCCAGGTTGCATGTTAGGAAACATTCCTTCTCAGAAAGAGCAGTGAGGCAGTAGCACAGGTTGCCCTGGGAGAGGATGGCATCACCATCCCTGGAGGTGTTCCACATACATGTAGATGTGGCAGTGAATGACATGGTTATTGGCTATGGTGGGGATGGGTTGATGGTTTGACTAGGTGATCTTAGAGATCTTTTCCAATCTTAATGATTCTATGAGTCTGTTCTCTGTTTCTCATCCTGCAAGCACTACTCTTAGCCATGCTCATATCACAACTGCAGATCTGCCTCCTCGAGAAACAGTGCACAGCCCATTACTCATTGAGGGTCAGGGTGCAGTTGCTGTGGGTGAGATAAGCCTCAGACTTTTTTTGGTTCTTATACATTTCTTAGTGGTTAAATAAGCTGGAACCTTTCCAGCATATTTTTACATGTTTTGATAGACCAGTATAGGGAGTGAAGAGGTACAGCACAAATTATGAGCGATAGATCAATATATTGATTAAATAACTTGAGCTTGTTTTCACTTTCAGACCAGCTAAGCACAACTAGCAGGTAATAAATCAGAGCGGCAATTAAAGGTCCACAGGAATTTCACTGGGTAGAAGTTCAAACTCCCTGACTTAATTCCAGCCCCAAGAACTCAGTCTCACATTAGAGCTGTAAGAATTTACTCTTCCTATTTCCAGCAAAGATAACAGCAACCATACTGGAGGCAGTGATCCAATGGAGCTTCTGCTACATGGGCAGCATGAATCTCAGCAGTAGTTGCACTATCAGTTGAAATTTCTATAAGTTTCGACCTTACCAAACCCCAGCTTATCTGACACCATATGTCAGAACACCAGTCTAAACTCTGGAGTTTAGCAACTTTGCCTTTCAGATGAAAAATCCCTCTTAGTTCCGTCTCTCAGCATTTATTCAAAGTTGCTAGTGCATCTTCTTGCAAATTACAAATTCCGATACAAGGAAATTAGCCATTGTTCTCCTCCAGGATCCCAGATTTGGTGCTACGAGCATTCAAAAATAACATAAAGTTATGGCCAGCTGTGAAAATAGCTAAAGAAGTTGCAGATGTTCCTAGGGGAGCTACTGAAATATTTTGGCACCTTTGCTCTGTCATTAGAAACAGAATACGATTCTCGGTTAGAACAGCAGCATAAGTTCAAGGGGAAGAGGAAAACAGGAAAGCATTTAACAGTGCTAACACAGATTGTGGGTTCAGCCATATAAAAAGTTTACAAAAAGACCAAAGTGAGTCCAGCTCCTGAACCCAATACCCTACCAGGACTGTGCTATGTCTTGAGTCTCAGCGAGCGGCTGCAGAGAAGGTAGGGTTGCAATGAAAGCTTTTACTTGAAACAAGAGTTGGCACAAGAAAGATAATGCAGCAGGCAGGTACAGTGCTTTGAAACATGGACTGCTGTGCAGTAAACTACTTCAAGCAGCTCAGCTGCTTCAGTCTAGCTCAGATGTCACCAAGAGACACTACTGCACTTCGAGCAAACTCCCCTATTGGCAGTGGGGATACAGCCTGAGACTCAAAGGAGACTAAGTAGCTTATAAAAATATAAATAGAGGGCCCTGCAGGCACCTTTGAAATGTTTACTCATAAGAGTAAGGGCTGGGCAATTCTGCATGTTGCCGAAAAGTGTAAATTACTTTGCCTTAGGCCATCCAGGAGGAGGATCATTCCAAAAGTGAGTACTTCCCACCCCCAAATTCTTTCATCTTTCTCTGCCTGCTTCTTTCTGGCCCATCTCTGGTTTTCCTCTTCTTTCCAGGAGCTCCAGGAAACTCTGAGGGATTCAAGGGTTCTGCCCTAAGTCACCCTCAGGGAAAGAAACATGATACCTAGCCAAGTTGGCAAGGAAGATACACTCAAAGTCATATGGCCCAGAGATAAGGAGGTGAGTGGATCAGTCATTGTGTGACAAGGTAGCGCTGGAAAAACATGGGGCTTACCCATTCATAAAGGCCTGCCTTCAAAAAGGAGGCAGGGCCTTGGAGAAGCAGCTGAGCATGTTAATGCATTACCTGGGAATGGGAAACTCAAGACCCTGCAACCAAACACAGCTGCACAGAAAGCTGCTGACACACACTGCAATATACACATGAATTGTCACTGCAGAAATAGCTGAACGATATGACTTGTGCTACAATTCAGCAATACTCCCCAAGTTAACGGCTGGGCTGACATTAATTATAAATCTTTTTCCCTTTTTCTCATCTCTAATAGGTCATCTAATCTATGCCAAACAAATTGCAGGGCTTTTCAGCAAAACAGATTGTCAAAAGCTCTTTCATCTGCTGGAGAGGTTTAAATAATTGGACATTTCTACTGGAAAACTAATCTCTGATCTACTAGCTGTCACATAGCTGAAAATTTCATTTCATTCAATGTTCATTTCTGCCCAGACAGCTGAGCACCATGCTGCATTCTCCACAAACAAAATGTCCATCCAAGAAAAAAAAGAGGTTGTTGCATTCAGTACAGTATTCAAAATCTTGATGTGCCACCAACTATGCATGACAAATGCTGGAGAGGAACAAAGTCTACAGGAAGAGAAGAGCGTGCGTGCTTTGGAGAGGCGGGGGGGGCCCAGCCCGCAATGTTCAAGCCCAGCTCCAATTTTTCTCAGCATTCCTGCATTTTTGGATGGAAGTTATGGTCTGTGTGCATTTCTGTGGGGAAGGCAGGGAGGAAGGGAGGGAGTCTTTTCTTTTTCCCAAACAACATCTCAGGCCGTCTTGGACTCACCCGCCAACATCTAACAACCAAAGACAAACAACATCACAGCTCCACAATACTTAAGCTTGATTGAATGACGACAATTCCACGTTAAAAAAAAAAAGAACATCAGAGCCTTCCACAGCTGCATCAACATTATCTATAAAAAAGCATGACACTACATGAAGGTTTGGCTGTGCAAGCCAAGAACCTAAAACAGCCAGGGCTTGGAGCAGGGCCATCACTGGATTCTCGTGTAAAGTGATGCTGCCATATTGCTGACTTTCCACTGAGGTTTTCCACAAATTAACAGCTGTAGCAGACTCCCAGAAAACAAAAACTCTTTCCAAGTCTTTCTTCTCTGAAAATGTTGTTTCTTCACTTTATTCTTCCCCATATGGAAGGGGAGAGGAGGAAAAAATCTGAACAGCCCTATGAGACAAACCAAAAAAAAAGAGAGACTGTGAGAAAAATTAATCACAAAGATTGCCTGGAAAGAGAGTGGTTATCAGTAAAATTACACCAGTGGTGGGCTCATTTTTTCTTTTCATTATACCAGCATGGTGGGATGGAGAATCAAGCCCAGGGAAAATATTTCTGGAGCAGCCCTTATGATTTATGATCATCTCAGCCATTCTGACAAGATCAGAAGAGCGCTGGATTCTTTCCAGTTGAGCACCACCAAAGGCCAAATCATTCCTATTTAGGGAAAAACAAAACTTCCCTGTGCTTCAGTAAGAATAGTGTTTGGCATGAAGCACAGAGAAAACTGCTTCATTTCAGCTAGCCTGCTGAAGTGCAGCTGAGACAAAAAGGTGATACCAGGCTGCCATGGATGGCTTCAAATCGCACTTTTTTCTCTTGATTTAATCTTGGACGTCACTAGGTACCACATAGGGTGATGCAGAGGGATTCATTATAAATGACAAAAAGCCCTCTTAACCCAAAAGTTATTTGATTTTCTGTGTGCACAGATGGCTGTTGACTCACTAGAGGCAGGGACGATGGAACTAGCAGACTGGCAGGAGCACAGGGACTTGTGGCATTAGAAAACAGATTCACAGGGTGGATTGCCTTCTGAAGAACTATGAGCTACAGTGTAGTAATAAGCAACACTGCACAGAGATGGGGCTTTCCAGCTAGTGGACTGATGGGTATTACCAGCTTGTGAATACCAATATGATGCAAAGATGTGGCTTGTTCTGGGTACTTGGGCGTGACACCCAACAACAACACAGAGTGCTTTAAAGAGAAAGCAACAGAAGGCATGCAGCACCACCCTGTCACGTCCCACGTGGCACTTGGCAATGCCACACAAGTTGTCAGCTGCCTGAGAGCCTTGCTGCACTGCTCTCACAAGTAATTTCTCAAACCAAAATGATCTTAACTCTCTGTACAGAGGAGAAAAGTGTTGCTGACCTCCTGCTTTCAGAGTGAAGGGGGCTCAAGAGATGCACCTTCATGTATCTCTTTACCTGCATTGGAGGAGAAACTCGGTCCGTGTTCTGGAGCCTCCTTGATATAGCAGGGACAGCAGTGGTATCAGGAATCTGTTACCTTAACCCCTAGTTCACAAGCCCCCACAGTCTGGAATAGTACTGACCACAGTTTATCCCATACTGATGGCCATCTCACACTTTACAACCCTGTGATATGCATCAAACTCTTATGGGACTAATGCCCACTTCACACAAAAACTAAAGATACAAACCATACACTTTTAAATACAGCCACTGGCTGTGAGTGGTAAAAACAACAACAAAAAAAAACAGCAACAAAAAAAAGACCAAAAAAAAAAACAAAAAACAAAAAAAAAAAACCAACCTACAAGCAACACCAGAGAAGAAATTTTTTCCCGAGTGAAAAAAACAGCAGTTTCAAATACCAGTTTAATGTGAGTATTTTTGGCAGTGGGTTTGTCATGAATTGACACTTATTTTGTTAACCTACCTGTGGCAAAACTGCACCCTCCCTCTTTGTAGACCTGGCAGAAACATGAAGATTACTCATTGCAGGTTTCCAAGAAGCTCCTGAAGCCAGTGCTCAGAGTTTGCATAACAACCATTGTCGACAATCCACCTACAACAGCTTAAAAATACAGTTTTGAATGGGTGAGAGAGGCCAGGAGTTCTCAGAAGGACTAGTCAAATTCAGGATTTTATTAATAGAACCGGAGGCGTGCTCATGAAGAAAAAAAAATACCACCCTCTTGCTATCTTAGCTGTCATCAGCAGTCACCTTTTCAAAAACAGAAGGCTAGAGGCAGAGTATTCCTGTAGATGAGCAAACAGAAAGATGCTGCATAAAAACATGAGAGCAAAATGGTGAGCAGCAGCGCCAGGGATCACTGCTCAGGTCTCCATATTGAGAAATGTTCTATGCACAGCTGCCTGCTTTGTGCATGCTGCTCTTGCTTAAGTGACCTCTTTTTATTTTTTTTTTAATACAGTGCCATGTATTTCACCCATAGAGAGCTAATTGCCAAACAAAGGGAGCCCACCAGCACATTGCACACCATGGGCCCTCAGTGCGCTCTCCAGCCAAATAATGCAATTACAGGAATCGTGGTACACAATAGGCACTCCCTAAAACAGCTTTACCCTAAAACAGATTAACAAATAGGGGTGGGCGAGGGATGTCAGCAAAAGCAGGGAGCACCACAGCACAGTGCACCAAGGCCGATGGGAGCTTCTCCACAGGCCAAAGGGATGGGCAACGTGGCCACCCCTCCCCAGGCCTGCTCCTGAGAGGGATCCCCCACAGGAGGTGGGTGCTAGGATGGATCTGCACAGCAGAAGGTGACCCTTCAGCCCAGAAGGATGGAGCACCACCTTCTCCAGGGCCTCTGGAGGATGGAGAGATGTGGGATCTCTTGGGGGTGATCACAAGAGCAAGGGGGATGTCACCAAGACATGTTAAAACCTATGCTCTGTGTAAGTACCAACGCTTGCAGTCTCGTCTCAGCCAAATCCCCAGCCTGCGAGGTCGGCCGTTAACAACAATCCCCGCAACTTTTTCAGCCTCTCTGTTTACACAAGCTAGAGCTTTCATACATAAAACTCTTAAATGAAAACATTAAAGAGCAGCTGGCGCCTCTTGGAAAACTCATAAAAAATCTGTTTCCAAACAGCGTAGCTTCTATACCATAAATTTCTGTATTTCTCACTCCTCTCATTCTTTATTTCTGGAGACATTTGCATGAAAACAGGAACTTTGTTTATTAAAGAATTCATCTGCTCCTGCTGCTAATTTCCCACCTGAATCCAGAGTCCCCCGGGTATGACATCATGACTGCAGGCTCTGGAAACGATCATGAAGTCACCAACAGCAGGCTTGGACAGGGGAGTAAACAGCTAGAAGACAGATCCTCCTCTGCTGCCAAATCCAGAGATCCTTATCCAGTTTTTCCTGGAGTGATATCCCATTGACTTCAGTGGGATATCGACCAAAATAAGGCCAACAGCATTTGATGTTTTGGCTGTTCCTCCCACCCTGCTCCCTCCTCCATCAGGATCTCACCCCCTACAACAAGTCTGGGACACTTGCCCTGGCACAGTGCCACTGTTTCTCAGCCCTGTGTCCTCAAGCGGCTCTCTACAAGTGAAAGGAAGAAAACTTGGAGGAAAAATGTCTCATCTCAAGTGCCGCCTTCCCCACCATATATCCTAAGACAGCACTGAGTCCTGCATGGGGCCAGCTAGGGAGAGCAGGGCTGCCTCACGCACAGCCATAGGCAAGCGCAGCAGTACCAGAGGCTGGGGGTGGGAGTGGGCGCTTGGGGATGAGTTGCAAACACCTCTGCAGACAGACTACTTGGAAAGATGTGTTTCCTGTGCAGAGCTAGAGAAAAAACACAGGAGCTAAAATGTCTCCTCCTGTGAGGACAAGAACACATTGCAAAGATGTCATTTTCAGAACAAATCCAGCAATGTTAATCAGATCTATGTTTTTCACCTCCTGCTCCGTGAAAAGCATGAGAAGATGAATGTAAGCTTAAAGAGCTTCATTAGAACTCTATTCACATAAAAAATGTCTGCCACAGTAGAAGCCCTCCCCTGTCGCCACCAGGTGTGCACAGTCAATATAAAGTATACAGGCCAAATACCATCCTCTTTTCAACCAACATCTTGTGACATCTCTCTGTGTGACTGCTGCAGAGCTTCAGCATTGCAGCAGGGGATGTAACAGCCCTCCATGAGCAGCACTCTCCCTCTATCAACCTGTACCAGCCAGCTGCTTGCCTTCCTGCCATCCTGCCTTGGGCCAGGCCAGCCTCTGCCAGGCTATGAAGTGCAAATGCTATTGGGCAGACATCCGGAGATGTCTGAAGATCTATATGCCCTTGAGAATGGGATGGCTAAGTGGGAAAGCCTGATTAGGAACAGAGATACTGATGCTGTTTGGGAAAGGTAGAGGCAGAACACAGAACCTTACAGAACTTCTTCCCTTTTATACCAAGCTTGAAAGTCTTTACATATATAGTGCTGTATCTTCATTCAGTGCTGGTACTGAGATCATGAACTGAGTATGTGTCTCATGGTAGCAGATAGTAGTTGGCATAGCAGACAGCAAAGAGAAAAATAACAGATGCATTTATATTCACAAAATCAAAATTCCCCTCTTTTCAATGACTTGGACTTGACTGATAGATCACCATGAATCTGCTCCGTGGTCACACTGCTCCACTTGCATGCCCTGAGCTGGACTTGGTGGTTGGGACATGCTGTCTGGAAGGGACTAAGGCAGTGAGCCCAGCACAAACAGCATTGTGCCTGCCCTCCCCCAGGCCACCACCACATTCTGTGGCCAACCACACACCTCCAGCAGGTCCTGTGCCCCCCCTCCCCACCAGTGCAGCCTATAGAAACTTTACCATCCAGTTTTCTTCAGTTTAATTCATTGTTACTGGCCAAACCATTCCAAGTGTTTTCCTTGGAACTCGCCTGCAGTCTCATCATGCCATACTTCCTCTGCACAGAGTAGATGTTATTTACCAGTTCTGATTGTTTTGGAGAGATGTTGAGGTTTTTTGAGAAAAGGATAATATATTGAAACTGATTGTATTGGCTGCTTTACCTATTTTTTCTGGATGACTCTCACTCGCTTTGTATAAAATGTGAGATATGAGCCCAGGCAACTTTTCAAGAAGGGCACAATGCCACTCTCACATGCAACTTGTATAATGGAGCTGTCACCTCTGCTGTGCTAAGCATACAGCTCAAGGAAATACAGGCTCACTGGGGAGAGGCATCCCAGCTCCCTGGTCAGTCACCCGGAGCACACCCAACCAAGTCAACAGGAGCTTGGTCCAAAACAATTAACATCAGGAAGAGCTGATAAAGCTTCTTTGGCTGCTATCTACCCCCCTAACCCACCTCCTGATAGTACGACTGAAACCTGACAAAGAAGGGTTACCTTCATTTCTTGAGGAGAGCTTTGAGAATACAGGCAAAGTGTAAATATTTTGGTGCAAGTGTCTCTGACTCACCGTGTCATCATTGTATTTCTGAGAGCCACTGGCTTCATCCTCTATCCTCAGCCCACCCCTTAGGACAGTTCACTCCAGGAGCTCTGCATTTTCTCATAATATCCCTAATATTCTCCATAAGAATTGGCATTGTTCACTATGGAGAGAGAGGGAGAAGAGCCCTCCCTTCTTCTGCCTTCTAACTCTTGTTTTTCCATTTCCTTACTTTCAAATTGTAGTATAGCAAATGTTCAAGGTCCTCCTCCCACCTGCTTCTCCAAGGCAGTTTTAAATTAGCCATGATTTCCTTCTCTTCTCAGCTTCTCATTTTTTCCAGAGCCTGTACTATCAAAACCTAGCGCCCTCCTTCCCTTTTTGTTATTCGAGACAGCCAAGCATCATACTGTTCATTCATTAGGACACTTCCGCCCACTCCACAGATCCAAAATTCTCCACCTCTGCTCTGCATAAATGCTTTCATCTCCACATTAGTCTAGCTCTTACTTTCAGCAGCTGCTTTTTACTTTTTTTTGTCTTTTCAGTGAACAGCCCTTCCCAATCCGCAGGGCTGCAGAGTCTTTCTGAAGCGAGTGCTTTCCTGCAAGGAGGATAGACCATGGCAACAAAAGCAAAGGTTGGTTGCTGGAAAGCTCATTTGTTCATTCTAGTATTAGAAAAAAAATTAAAAAAAAAATAGCCTGTAATTCCAAGCAGGTCTGCCCTGGCCCTGTGCTCTGAGTACCTTTACAGCAATGAAAATTACAATGTCACTGATATTAATAGCAAGAAACAGCATCAGCTCAACACACTACAACTCCTTTGCTCCCACAGTGCTCTCCAAATGACAAGAGAAACTTTAAGTTAAGCACAGAAGACCCCTCCCCCAGAGGGAAGCTGGGCTGTCTGGCATGGGCTGGGATGTAATGAACCCCAGCTGCTGATGGCCATGCATCCAAATGGGGTCATGCGTCCCAAACTGGCAGCTTCCCCTGGTATCAAAGAAGACCTTGGGAGAGAAGGTCCACTGCCTAGCCTCAGAGCAAACTGACCACATCACTCTACCAGAGCCTTTTTGCTCCGCATCATTGCCCTGAACTGCCTCACACCACCTCGGAGGCTCACAGACACCTCCCACCTCCCACTTCTTCTCTCCCATCTCTGGATTTTCACTCTCCAGACTCTTCTCAGCTCCTCACTTCATTACTGCCATTCCCACACAAGGATCCAGGAGCCACAAACAGATTAACCTGTGGAAGATCTGAAACTGTCCCAGCTTTAAAAAGCCACAAATGTACTACAGTCTGTGAGCAATGCGCAGTGCTACCGCAGCAGCAGCATGTTTAGCCTTGAGTATTATAGGGGCTAAACTCGCATGACTTTTAAAATCCCATAGTGCATGTGTGGTACAGAACTGTTACGCTGCAATTTACTCCAAATTACTGCTCCATTTGTTTACCCAGAGCCTTGGCATCTTGCTGCCCCTACACTGCTAAATCACCCTTTTAACTCTCATTATACTCTCCTCATTTAATTTTCCAGCTCTTCAAGCAAATCCTCATAGTAATGATGTCTGCATATCTCTGTATTCTTATTTTCCAAAATGTTGCCCCCATCTCACAATCATATTAGGGCACAGAGCTGAAATGCAATGCCAGAAAAAGCAGCCAACATTGTTCTGGTACATGCAACAGTCAGTGTGCCCTGCCGGGGAGCCCACAAATGTGTTATTCATATCCCAAGTTTCTTAGCCAGAACAGTCCTGTTCCTTCTCTTGTCCAAACCACAAAGATAAGAATTTCCAGCCTATCCAAAATCTCGCAAATCTTGGGATCAACATGGAGATACAGAAGGGAAAAGCAAAAAACTACCCTTGCTTACATGCAATGAATAGCTGCAACACCACAATTCCCTTCTTTTTTCTGCTTGCCTGCTGCACTCCTTTGAAAAATCCTTCTCACTGTAGGCTTTTGTCCTTCAGGTTAGGGGAGCAAGGCACACAGCACTGCACACTAACTCTTCTCTGATGCTGAGTGGTGACCATACACTTCAAACCCATGGCGTGAGAGCTCTTGCAGCCACCCAGCCACAGACACCAGACACAGCGCAGAGACACAGCTGCCCAGGGCTGGCATCTTTGATTTAATGATTTATTTTGAATACACTGTTCTCCTTGCACAACCACCTCTCCCCACAAGGACCCATGACCTTTGCACTTTTCTGATGACTTCATCCACTGCACTCCGCTCCCACAAGCTGTAGGTCAGGGATCAGGTGACAGACTTGACCCAAACTGTCTGACAAAGGCTTCTCATCTGCGTGGCATGGCATTCTGAGAAATCGATTCACAGGAGGGTCAGTGCTGCATTACATTCAGTAGTGCTTCCCAGGCAGCCCATGAAAGACGTTCTCACCACACCTGAGGTGGGCTTATTGACCCATTCAGCAGAAACTCTGACACTGAGCATCCTTCTCAGTTCCACACGCTCTGGAGACAAACCTTCCGCCTGGCCACAAGCCTGATCCCTAGTACAAAAGAGAATGGTTTCAGTTTTGCACAGTTGCCTTCCCAACACTTTCCATAGGCACTTAATTCACACTGAGCTTCCTCCCAAGGAACGGCAATGCCACCTCGTCCCAGTCCCAAAGGACACTGCAGCTGCTGGGTTCTTCAGCACTAGTAGGCCCACGGAGGCAGGCACAGACATAGAAATGTGCCACTGCCAGCCAGTGACACCTATCTTCCCAGTTTCTTAAACCTCCACAATCGTCCAGTCTTTTCCCCACCCACCAGCCCTGGTATGATCGAAGATCTGTTTGTGGTAAAGGCCAGTAGATCAGCAAATGTTAAAATGGAAGCCTACAGATGCTTTTGGCGCGAATATCTGAATAAAACAAAGGCTTAAACAAGGCTAGACATAGATTGGCTGAGGATCAGACCAAAGATAGAAGAACTTTCTTGAGTACTTTGAATATTTCAAGCACCATCCGTCACTAACTGAAGACAGGCTTGGTTCATTGTTCGAGATATATTGGAAGTAACTTGCAAAAGTGAGTATGAAAGCTGAAAGCACCATGGAAATGTGCTCTGAATGACTGCACTATCCCAACTGGAGGGAACTCAGTACAGGGAGACATAAATATATATGTAAAGCCAGTTCAGAGCTGGCTGGCTGCTTCCAGCTCGACTGAAGTGCCTCAGAAAGCGCCATTCTGGTACATCCAGAGATGATGGAGGCTCTCTGATATGAAAATCACTTCATAGTGTTGCATTTGTGGTCCAGAGAGTCCTTCTCAGTAAAATTTCTCCTACATATGATTTGCTTTTTTATGCATTAACTGTTTTCAAAGCTGAGATTTATATTCAGCATATATTCTGACTGTTGCTTCACAATGCAGATGTTTCATGCACGCCTTTTTTGGGTGCATGGAAGTACCCCTAGGCACAGGTCTCCTCAAGCATCTGAAGCATCCACATGCTGTTTCACCCCACTAGAGCCCTGGCACAGCGTGCCTCCCAGCGCTGAACACTAGCCCATCCGCCATGCAGGCTGCTTGCAGAGATAAATGCCTTGGCATTTTGAGACAGAGCCTTGTCAGCCCAATAAAAAAAGCCCTACATTCATTTATTTCGCTTGCAGGCTCACTGCTTAGTCAGCTGTTAAAACAACGTGTAAAACCTTTGCTAAAAGAGCTGCGGTAGAAAATAGCTGATCACTAAGTCTGAAGTGTCAGAGCTGTCTGGGTAGGTGGAGGCACTAACAGGAAAGCAGGAAACCCAGTCTGTAAGCTTAGAGCTTGTGGAAAGGAAACAGTTTCCATTCAGCACAGAGATTGCAGAGCAACACTGTCATGAGGGCTAGAGGCAGCCAAAAGTCATTTTCTCTCTCCCAGTTTAATGATTTCTGGTTGCTGCAGCTCGGCACTCCTGGGAGGAAGCGTGGGCAGCCTGCACTTAATGCTGCTCATTGTTCTGACTATTACAGTACGGGGAAGGGAGGCAGAGGATCTATAAACGTATTTCACACAAGTGCATGTGAAATAACCCGAATAAATCACCCTGTGAGCTTTTTTTTTTTTTTTAACAGCCAGCCTGCTACCTTTGACACCGGCCACAATTAGCACACTAACTTATTTACATGCCATAAATCCACCGTGCACAAAGACCTGCTGTCCTGACTTTTCACCGCAAACCTGTAAGCTTTGGTTACATCAAGCTTCCCCCTTCCTTACAAAGAGTTTCAGTAGCTTGTGGCAGCGCAGAGGCGGAACACACAAGGGCTGCATTCTACTCCCTGGCCACCCCTGGGCCGGTGCGAGGCGGTCTGCCCTGATGAGATCTGGGAATGGATCCCACACATGGATCCGGCTGGAAAAATGAGCTGCGCCGAGGGCTGGGGGTTAGGCCCCCCTAGAGGGATCGCCTCAACACCCCCCGCCCTGGCAGCTGCAAGGGAGCTTTCAATTTTAATCACAAATTATTTTCATGGCAGCCCACAGTAAAATGAAAACAAGTATCACAAGGCAAAGAGGCCTTGCTGGGGTTTAGAAGTTTCGTGCTACATCCTTCAGGGGTTCAGTTCCAGGAAAAGCAAACAAGCAGCTCAGATGAAGCAGACACAGCTCCAAGCGCTGTGAGCACAGGGTGCCACCGGCCCCTCATGCACTGCGGGACGTGCGAGTGCTCAGCTGCACACATAGCACTCGGGCTGTGTCCGTGTGTGGCTCATTAAACGTCACCACAGCAGCACAGCCCTCCCTCTCACTGTCCCAGCAGGCAGATCTCCTGCAGACAGCGCATGCCAGGCCCTGGACACCAGTGGGTAGGCCACGTACACTGTGCAAGGGAAACCAAAACTAAGGTATGCTGGAGCCTGTGGCACGCAAACAGCTTGTTCAGGACAGCATAGACATGGGTGTGCAGACACCTGGCAGTGTGTCTGTGCTCCTGTCCATACAGACTGCAGCTAACCCTATGCTCTGGGTGCTGCTTTCCATCAAGTACCCGCTCCTCTGGGGATGATGGGATACTTTCCAGCTTCTTGAACTGCCACCCAAGGATCAACCCATGCCTCCACCCCTCCCACAGTCCCATGAAAACGAACAGCTATGTTTTTCAGGTAGAGTAAAGGGGACGGATTTTTGCCCACACACCACGGCTGGGTGAATGACTGAACATCCCCACTCACACACAGCCACAATCATCATGCACTGCTTGCAGGTCCCATTTATTCCACTTCAGTCCAAAGGAAATAACCTGTGGTTCAAATCATGCTGCCTGCTAGCCAAGAAAGGCATTGAGAATGGGTCATACTGAGCAGAGGAAGCAAAGGAGGCTGCTCTGGGCACTGCAGCAAACTGCTAGCTTCTTCCCAAGCAGAGAAGGGCAGAGGTGCCAAGTAGACCACCACTCCATTTGCATTTTCCCCACTGACTGAAGTTTCCACCCACACAAAACCATACTTTAGGTGAATACATTCCATTTAAAAATCCCATCACTTATTCCAACCGGATGAAAATGGAACATTTTGTACCAGATAATTTGGTCTGTATATTTTTATAAACAAAACTGTTTTGCAACAAGCGTGATCCTATCAAGACCATTTGTATTAATAAAACGGTATTTTTGTAATAAAAATAATCTTTGGCAAAGTGTTCGCCTGACTTTATTAGCACCATTAAGAATCCTCTTGCATTTCCTTTTTTCTCAGCAGCTCGCAAGGAGGTATGTTCAGAATTTCATTACTTGAAAATGAGGCAATAAATAAAATAAAAAAATAAAGAGTAATTTGTACTCCAATAATGGCTTCCTCTTCAAAGCTTCAGAGCATTTTGGGAAAAAAAAAACCCAACAAACAAAACAAAACCAAACCCAAAACCATGATTTAACCGTCCCTCTCGTAACGCAGCTATTCCCTCTTTTTATAGCTGGGAGAAACATCTCCTGAGAGAGCCTCTGCTCATTTCAGATGCCCACGTTCTGAGTGCCAAGATCCTGATTTACCACGGTTTATTGTGCTTAGACTCAGTGGATACAACAGGTACTCAAGCGCTTGGACCAAGGTAGACACCGGCATCTCAGGTCAGCTCTCCTAGACTACTGGAAGCTGACGATGATCTGGGCAGAATTTGGGCAAATCAGAATCTGTGCTCACCCCCAGCCCCAGGCTTATCCGGGAATTCCAGCGCTCAGCAGGAAGGAGGCAGCACCCACTGCCTCACACCAGTCTTTTCCAAACACACTCAGGCTATTTTGTATGTTTTGTTAAGCAGGAAGAACCACATTAACCGCTTGATCGACTCCAGTCTTTTGTCCATTTACACTGCATTCTCATTGGTCTACATTTAAAGATAAAGAAGAATTCTTGGTATTTAAAATTTTTTTAATGTCTTCTCATGTCAGAATTGGCAGACATCTCTGCGGCTACAGAATAGGCAGGAAAGCAGGACTGGCTCTGTGGAAGAATTGTTTCTTTCATTTTCTTCCCACTTTAATGTGGCTGATATTGGTTTTAAACCTTGTTGGCACTCTGCAGTAAGAAGAGTGACAAATCTTCTTTCATCCAGAAAAGTATCAAATAGGTGTAGCTCCAATTTTAAAGCAGCCCCATCAAGTAATTTAGTTCCAAAAGGGATGATGGCTTTCCTGGCAGTGTGGGATTGGCCGTATCAGATGCAGCGGAGCACAGGATCACAAGTCTCGCTGCTTCATTCCATCAACGACCCCTATTTCATCCTGTGCTCCAGGGGAAGATGAAAGGCCTCTGTAATGCATTCTAAGCTGTAACCATATGGAAAAGTCTTGTAGAATGTAAAACGGATAAGCAAACACAGCCCTACAGAAATACTGGGACACTACAGCATTCATTTCTAAAATCCCAAAGAGATTAAAAGACCAATTATACTGTCCTTAATTTCCTACAGTAGGGAAGCATTTCGCTGTTACATGCTAAATGTGGTAATGATGAGGGAGAGAATGCCTAGATGCCTTGGTGCCCAAACCTGTGAAAACCCCAATTCTTAACTGCTACTGTTTGCTATGCAGGCAGGCAGGATCTGCCTTTACCTTCAGTATTGTACAATAACAGTAACCATAAAGATTCAGAACGAGCACAAGGACCAGTGAGACCATTAATAATAGCAATAAATGCTGTTCTGCATGAAGAAAACACTTACCCAAGGAATAAAAAAAGTCATTTTAGAATACGTTATGTCCTCTGTGAAATTCCCACCGCATTTGTACAATACGGTGGCAATTATGAAGCAGCTTCTCATCTCAGCAAACACCCCCTGCAATCAGATGTTACTCAGGGCATCAGCTCCAAGCAGGGCTGCTCCTGAGCCGCAAACCCCCCACTGCCCTCAGTCACACAGTTCTGCAGCTCATTCCTTCTCTCCCCCAGGGGTAAATGCAGCTCTGCCCCTGCCTGCTGCTGGGGTTACTCCTTTGATGGAGAGCCCCCAGGCTGCTGTGCTAAGTTGCTGCAGGATGTTACACAGCTCAGCACCCACCACGTTGTGC